TTGTACCATTACCCTCAGTAGTGTTGGTCTGGTAGTTGTACCATTACCCTCAGTAGCATCAGTCCTATAGTTGTTACCATTATCCTTAGTAGTTTGTGTTCTCTACTTGTACATTACCTTTAGTAGTGTCTGTACTGTAGTTGTTACCATTTCCCTCAGTAGTGTTGGTCTTGTAGTTGTACCATTTCCCTCAGTAGTGTTAGTCATGTAGTTGTACCATTACCCTCAGTAGTGTACGTCTGACAGTTGTACCATTTCCCTCAGTAGTGTTGGTCTTGTAGTTGTACCATTTCCCTCAGTAGCATCAGTCATGTAGTTGTACCATTTCCCTCAGTAGTGTTGGTCCTGTACTGTAGTTGCTACCATTTCCCACAGTTGTGGTGGTCCTGTAGTTGTACCATTACCCCAAGTAGAGTAAGTCCTGTCCTACCAGTTCCAGTCCAGTCATTTCTACAATATAATACTTACCAAGATCTGCTTTCACTGGTAATCAACTCCTTATCCCAAGTTATCTTGGTACGATCTGTGAACAAGTTGTACCAGTACCATCAGTAGTGTTTGTCCTGTAGTACCATTACCCTCAGTAGTGTTTTCTGTAGTACCAATACCCTCATTAGAGTCAGCCCTGTAGTTGTATAAATTACCCTCAGTTGTTTGTCACATAGTTGTACCATTACCCCCAGTAGTGTTTGTCCAGTAGTTGTACCATTACCCTAGTAGTGTCGGTCCTGTAGTTGAACCATTACCCTCAGTAGTGGTTTTCTGGTAGTTGTACCATTACCCTCAGTAGTGTGGTTCCTATAGTTGTTACCATTTCCCTCAGAAGTGTTGGTCTTGTAGTTCTACCATTACCCTCAGTAGCATCAGTCTTGTAGTTGTACCATTTCCCTCAGTGGCATCAGTCTTGTAGTTGTACCATTTCCCTCAGTGGCATCAGTCTTGTAGTTGTACCATTTCCCTCAGTAGCATTGTAGTTGTACCATTACCCTCAGTAGCATCAGTCTTGGAGTTGTACCATTTCCCTCAGGAGTAGTGGTCCTGTACTGTAGTTGTTACCATTTCCCACAGTTGTGGTGGTCCTGTAGTTGTACCATTACCCTCAGTAGTGTTGGTCTTGTAGTTGTACCATTACCCTCAGTAGCATCAGTCTTTTAGTTGTACCATTTCCCTCAGTAGCATCAGTCTTGTAGTTCTACCATTTCCCTCAGTAGCATCAGTCTTGTAGTTCTACCATTTCCCTCAGTAGCATCAGTCTTGTAGTTGTACCCTTTCCCTCAGTAGTGTTGGTCCTGTACTGTAGTTGTTACCATTTCCCACAGTTGTGGTGGTCCTGTAGTTGTACCATTACCCTCAGTAGTGTGGTTCCTATAGTTGTTACCATTACGCTCAGTAGTGTTGGTCTGACAGTTGTACCATTTCCCCCAGTTGTGGTGGTCCTGTAGTTGTACCATTACCCCGAGTAGTGCAAGTCCTGTTCTACCAGTTCCAGTCCAGTCATTTCTACAATATAATACTTACCAAGATCTGCTTTCACTGGTAATCAACTCCTTATCGAGAGTTATCTTGGTACGATCTGTGAACAAGTTTTACCAGTACCATCAGTAGTGTTTTTCCTGTAGTACCATTACCCTCATTAGAGTCAGCCCTGTAGTTGTAAAAATTAGCCTCAGTTGTTTGTCACATAGTTGTAGCATTTCCATAAGTAGTGTTGGTCTTGTAGTTGTACCATTACCCTCAGTAGTGTTGGTCTTGTAGTTGTACCATTATTACCCTCAGTAGTGTCGGTCTTGTAGTTGTACCATTACCCTCAGTAGTGTTTGTCCTGTAGTTTTACCATTATTACCCTCAGTAGTGTTGGTCCGACAGTTGTACCATTACCCTCAGTAGTGTTTGTCCTGTAGTTGTACCATTACCCTCAGTAGCATCAGTCCTGTAGTTGTACCATTACACCCAGTTGTGTTTGTCCTGTAGTTGTACCATTATTACCCTCAGTGGTGTTGGTCTGACAGTTGTACCATTACCCTCAGTAGTGTTTGTCGTGTACCTGTACTATTAACCTCAGTAGTGTCGGTCCTGTAGTTGTACCATTTCCCTCAGTAGTGTCGGTCCTGTAGTTGTACCATTTCCCTCGGTTGCGTTGGTCCTGCTGTTGTACCATTACCCCCATTAGTTTAGTGGCCCCTCAGTTGTGTTGGTCCTTCTGTTGTACCATTACCCCCATTAGTTTAATGGCGCCTCAGTTGTGTTGGTCCTGCTCTTGTACCATTACCCCTAGTAGTGTTGTTCCCATTTATGTAGGATTAGTCTAGTTTTACCTCAGTCCCAGCTCAGTAGTGTTGGTCTTGTAGTTGTACCATTTCCCTCAGAAGTGTTGGTCTTGTAGTTGTACCATTTCCCTCAGTAGTGTCGGTCCTGTAGTTGTACCATTTCCCTCGGTAGTGTCGGTCCTGTAGTTGTACCAATTCCCTCGGTTGCGTTGGTCCTGATGTTGTACCATTACCCCCATTAGTTTAGTTGCGCCTCAGTTGTGTTGGTCCTGCTGTTGTTCCATTACCCCCATTAGTTTAGTGGCGCCTCAGTTGTGTTGGTCCTGCTGTTGTACCATTACCCCTAGTAGTGTTGTTCCCATTTATGTAGCATTAGTCTAGTTTTACCTCAGTCCCAGAAAGAGTTGAATTTTTGGTGACCATACATATATGGTCATACAGTGCTCTACTCGAGTTTGTTCATGCCGGTCTTTTGTATCGGCCAGTCTTGTGTTTTCACCATTTTTTGTATTTTGGTTATATGGTTCAGTTTCATTTTTTCACACACATTGGCATAGTATTTGATAACATTTGTCCATCAACAAGTAGAATATATATACCTTTTCAGCTTGCACTCTAGAACAGGTTTTCTTTGTACTATGTACCAGAAACATCTCCCAGTATTCAATCTTCAGTGTTGAGCCCTACTAGAACTACCAGCTGGACTTGGCATTCCAATATCCTCCAGGTGTTTTTATTATCGATAAATTATTAATGTTAGCACACCGACAAACGAAAAAGACATGAAAAAGTTGGCCAATAAGCTCAATTTTCTATGGTGGAAGTTTTAAACTTGACAAACCATTAAATTTCAGATTTTAAAATTCAATGTCAGCATTTCTTAAAAATTAAATCAAATGGTGTTCACATTTTTACTTTTACATAAAATTGTTTTACAAGAAAAACAATCAAGGTAACAAACAATATTTTTTTAATTTGATCTTCAATTTTTGCATCATGTCAACCCGAATAACTGATGCTTCAATAACCATGTTCCATTAAAGATGAACCTACATTCAACCACAATAAATATTACTGTCCATCTGTTCAATTTCCTCATCCCTAATGCATTGAATTTATTAATCTGAATGTTACATTCCTACACAATTCCACCTAAGTTTACAAGATTATCTTCTATTAGGAAATAATTGTCCATGTCTTACCTCAAACTCTTGCTTGATGGTAAAGTATGTTCTGAATTACCAACCAGTGTGAAATCATGCGTCATTCTTCCTTTATTTTGTGAAACCGTTACCAAATGAAATGTGTTCAACAGGAGAGGAATGCACAGCCAAATCGGGGATAGAACCTGGGACCTTCACAACTCAACCAGCGATCGACCCAGTCCATTTCTGTTAGATGTGCATAGATTCCTATTGCATTTGGTCCTTTCCCCTAATAATATTCAGCAGCATGCTGCAAACATACTTTATGTTCACGACAAAACAATATGGTTAAAGGCATTATTCAGTATTAAAGCAAGTTTGTGTAATCCGACAACACTTAGGAGTAAAAACCTGTCATTTTCTTTCAACAGATAACAAAAGTCACCAGTGAAAATGTTTACACCTCGATAGAAGCTTCAAAAAACAGGATATTTATTGTGCATTTTGTCAATTTTGGATTAGTTTGAAATGTTGATTCTTAAATCTACTTCAATGCAAATATCCTTAAATGTGCACACTTTACAAGCAAGTTGACAGTCAACGCTAATTAAGGCAAGTGGTTGAGCAAGCAACACATCGGTTCAATTGGTTTAATGACAAATAAACAGACGGGCATTATGCTTCAGGCATAAAATGTATACCATTAAGATTTAATTATGGCAACTATCTAGTTGAACTCTTAACCCTTTAATCTTGTAACCAGTTTCACGAATCTTAATTATTTTTGACCTGTCAAAACACCATCTCACAGAATACAAAAGCTGTCACGTTTTGTCTAGTCTTTTTCAACTATTTTTAAACATGAATGAATCAAGACTTCATTGTTAATGTTTCAAGGCTGGGATTTTTTCCTGGCCTGTGTCAATTATATATTATAGGACACCAATTGTAGGATAACATTTTGTGAAACTGACCAAGATGTGAATCTTCTGTTACCTTTCCAGTGTCTACTGTGCATCATCTAGCTGAATTTTTCCTTTTCAAATTTCTTGCGAGATGACTCGTTTTCATGTGCATGTTCTTTTGGTCCAATATTTGCATGAAGAAGAATAGCAGTTTTCCCTCAGCGTTCAGTTCAAACTACCTGTATGGCGTTTCCAGTAGATCTAAAATTAAAGCTACGTCAACGGGAAGGCATATTTATTGTTCACTGGAGAAATTACTTTATTTCAAATTCAGTTTTTATTTTCTTCAATCACTGCATACTTTACATGGGGGAAATGGGAGTGGTCAACTGCCGACAGTGCCCTAGATGCTACTCACGTCATTTATAAAGCATTTTATACACAAGATGTCCTAATTACTAATTGTGTAGTACCGCTATGAAAAATAAATGGGTCGATAATGCCATTCCACTCGAATCATGGAGTTACATGGAAGACTTGCAACAAAAGGGCCCGTTAATGCCTTACCACTGCATCACTCCTATAGCATAAACCATGTCGGTTTCCAATTCCATGGTTAAATGCCCTTTTCTTGAAACTTAAGCTTTATACCTCGACAATTTCCTAACCATTTTACAAGTTCCCATTGTTGATGTGCTGTAAAGCTTTGGTGTAAACTGAAATTACCTTACTACTTGTATTAATTAAGGGTAGAGTGTTGGCAACCTCTCTGGTAAATGTGTTCCCAAGGATTGTGGACTGCACTCAAGGACTTGCAATTTCAGAACTTTGCTATAAAAAGCATAGAAAACAAAAACCAAACACAAAGCTAAAGATTGATTGGATTAATTGCCAATCATTCTACGATTGAAAAATGGGGGTTTGTTTCGTGAAATCAACAAACTTCAGCTCGGTACCTTGACAATTTCCTAACCATTTTACAAGTTCCCTTTGTTGATGTGCTGTAAAGCTTTGGTGTAAACTGAAATTACCTTACTACTTGCATTAATTAAGGGTAGCGTGTTGGAAAAGGTTGCCGACTCTCTGGTAAATGTGTTCCCAAGGATTGTGGACTGCACTCGAGGACTTGCAATTTCAGAACTTTGCTATAAAAAGCATAGAAAACAAAAACCAAACACAAAACTAAGGATTGATTGGATTAATTGCCAAACATTCTACGATTGAAAAATGGGGGTTTGTTTCGTGAAATCAACAGAGCTGACAAATGCCTGCATGATTTAAAATTGAATGTAACCAAACCACACGAAACAAAACATGAGAATTTTGAATTCTATTATTACCTGGACAAATGGTTCCAAAAATAAGGAATAGTCTTCAAGATCCAAGGACATTGAATCCCAATATTGTCATGTCTTGCACGAGCATATCTATTTCCTATATTACATAATCACAACTTAAATGCAATATGGATCCAATTTTGCTCAGCATGCATCATAGTTTTACAATTTACAAACCTTCAACTGCCCTGGTCTGTAGAACACTTCAGACACTATAAGTATTGGAGACGAACATCTACCTTCTCTGATAATCTGATTTTCCATATTTACTTCTACAAGTCGACTGTCCTTGTTCAGTTGCCCCAGCCAACAGCGGCAGGTCGGACTAAATTACTTGCCAATGAAATCCCAACTTTCAATCTTGCCACGGCCATTCAAGACTGCAGAGCAAATTTTTACAAGATATGCAGTAGTAAACAGAAACAATCAAGATTCAAAGAATTAAACGGGACAAAATTTGTGTACTTTCCATTTATGAATATGCAAGGACATTGCTGTCCGAATTAGAAATTATTGTACAGGTCCCAATTTAAAAAATTAACAGGAATAAATGCCGTAATAGCATGCACTATTTTTTTGCTTGCAACACAACATTTAGCTAACGAAAAGATACCACCAAAATGGTTCCTGGGTGATCACATTATACAGCAGAATAGAAAGAGTCAATCTGGTCTACTCGGACATGGGAGAATGGACATTTGAAATATGGTCACTGGTAGTCACTCCAACACCTTCAAATATCCAAGCACTAGTCTTCACTTGAACTTCAATCTCTGCCAACTTTAAACGCCCTTTTCAAATAAATTTTCTATAAAAAGGAAAATATTGCACACTAAACAGTCTTTCAACTATTGGAATTTGCATGCATTGTGTATATATATTTACCATCAACACTGAACCAAAAAATGATGGAAAGCTGTAGTATGCACACACTTTTTTGTATTTAACAAGTTGCTATGGACATGTCAAACAAAATGTCTTCAAGATGTATGCAAGAATATAGAAATTAGATTTTCAAGTTTACATATATATATAACTGTCAAGATTGTTTTGTACTATGTCCAGTTTAACCGACCAAAATTCGAAATTTGAGTATTAATATATAATACAACACCAAACCACCCATTTTGTCAAAGACCGGACATCTTGGCGATTGTTGAATCTGCTCGCACCCAATATCAATCATGGTGAACCATCAGGTCATCAGTATTTTCAAGTTAAACATGGACAGGCAAAATGGACAGGTCACGATTAAATCTTTTTATGTCGGGGAAAGACTGTAAAGCAGGCCATCGACAAACTCTGGACTAGATTCAACATTTCTGCAAACAGCAATGTGGAAGAGATGTGTGCTGTAGTCCTCACTTGGGCCTACTATGGGTGTTCTATTCAAAGTCGGCACCATGCTAGCTTAACATGGAAGTCTTTGCTATTTCAGAGAAGAGCACTTTGTAGTTGCACCATGTCCACACTTGCAATCACAATGGATTATGCCCACTCTTTGAATTGCATTTTCAACATCTATAAACAAGAAAATGTTATATACTTAACAGGTCAAAATCAAAACAGAAATTTCAGCGTCTCAAACATTGAATGGACCAAATACGATTGAACAAGCATCATAAATTAAACTTTAAAATTATTATTATTTTTGAATTTCGTCTCAACATCTTGTCAAAACAAATTTTATAAAAAAAGTAAAACCACAAATTTCTGATGAAAGGCTGGGACAGCTGTTCTCTGGACTAGAAATTTGCAGTGCTGAATCATCATGTCATCAAATAATGGATTTGTGGAGGTCAGACCATGAACCTGGCTGCACGCTATGCACCAACGGCTTAGATGTGATCAGGACATGGTTCGGATAGCTGATGAAGAGGTCAACGGCTAAGCCAAGACTCTTGCCAGGACCAGGTGGGACATGATATATTTCTGTGACTGGTCGTCAGCAATGGGGCGACGATTCTATACGGTCAGGAAACTGAACAACTGTAGTCTGTCACTTGCCCAAACACAACCCCCAACAGACTTGTGCAGTCCTTTGGTTTAAGACCCCTGGATGACCGGATTATGAAGAAGGCCACACATGCCAGTCATGGGTATTGCTAACAATAGAAAGGAAGACATGTTTAAACAGTAATTGCATACTTATACATCAACAACTAAAAAAGAATATAAAGATAAATTTGTGTTCTTTATTCAAACAAAGTATACAGCTAAAACGACAATATAACATATTTAATAATTAATGTGTATATCCTCTCATATCTCTTCCTTGAAACCAGTACTTGTGCCCCATTCTTGACTTTGACCGAAATATATTTGTTGGACGGAACAATACCCATGTATATTATACAAGTCTACTCCTTAATTATAAACTCGTCCCTACATTTATATAAATACCAACTTGCAAACCCACGGAGTCCGTACTTTTTACAATAATTAATGCCATATTATAAATTTGCGACATGCATTACCAGAGATTTGAATTTCAAAAACAAAACTTCGCGCCTTCCCAAACCATTCTCAATTTCTTAGGACTATACAGCAATTACTTCGGCAAGGTCCCCTTTCTAATATTGACGCAAGATCAGCCGATCCAACCAGACGCCATGTATATCATATAACTCGACTCCTTAATTATCAACTCGTCCCTACATTTATACAAATACCAACTTGCAAACCAAACAAATACTCGACAAAAAATAATGCCTTACTATAAATCTGCGTCATACATTACCATATAGAGATTTGAATTTCAAAAACAAAACTTCATGACTTCCCAAACCATTCTTAATTTCTTTGACTATACAGCAATAACTTCGGCAAGGTCCCCTTTCTAATATTGACGCCACATCCGCCGATCCAACCTGACGCCATATTGGATTTTCACAACCGCTCCTGTTTTTCCAATTTTTCTTCGGCATTATTGACTCTCCCATTGTAAAAAAACGATACCCTATGAAAAACTCGGCAAATCTTAACCGTCATTGGTGAGAAATGTCACAATTTCACTCTGAAACAAATAGAAATGTTCATTTCAAAATGTCCTTGTGTCTGTGAAGTCACACGCTCTGCCTCCTTCCACTAGTTTTGCCTGGTATGAGCGCGTTGGGCGTTGGTTGCTATATATATATGCAGACGGATAATATTCATCCGCGGTCAAATAGTCCTAACGAAGACTTCGTCAAACACTGTTTCTAATCTATTATAATCAGTTTCTGACCAGCCAATTAATTACGATGCTGATTCATTGCTTCTTTGAATTATATATAAAGAAAAATAAATTATATTTATTCATTTCCTTTGTAACAATCAGCGGAAGAATAACGGAATAAGCAACTTGATGATGACATGACGCACGTCTGGAATGCGTGGCACGAGGCACCGAAGGGGTACGCTAAATAGCCTCTACACTTGACTAACCTTAAGGACTCGGCCTTTGATTACTAAAGTCAATAATAACATTGTACATGCATATTTTATTTTATTTCTTATGTATGACATCTTCGTACAATAATGGATTCCACCGGTATATTTGTCCTCTCAGAGACGTCTGTGGCTATTCAGAGCGTAAACTTCTAATTATAGACGTTTACGTCACATATCTCGTTGCGAGAAGCCTTGCTCAAGTTCCTTAAGCTAATGTGTAAATTAAGAGTGTTAATTAGAGTTCCCGCCATTCAATCAGTCTATCTATGTCCGAGTAGAGATTAATCATATTTGATAAAATGAATAATAAATATAAAACTGACATTTGATTGTTGGCTAAAATGATCTAACTTCACATTTTGAATATATAAGTTGAGGGTGAGGGGTCTATGGTCTACATGGCGCGTGTTGTGTGTAATTTTGGAAAAGTGTACGTACATTATCAGAAATCTATGAAAATAAAATGAGAGAACTAGCATTTTCCTCTAAATTGTGGAAGTGAAATTTTCTGATCTTGTACATGTATCTCAGAAAAGCAGTTTAGGTTGCCCCTACTCAGGGACGTATAATACTGTCCCTTTAATTAATTTTTCATAAAAATACTCATTATTTTACAGCACAGTTAATAAGTCATAATTTCACAACACAGGCTAATAGCATGTTGGATCAGACTTCCTCTAATATAGAGTAAGTAACCAAATGCAAGACCTCATCTAGTAAATTATTAAGGAAGGGAAAGATCAAACCACGGACTTAGATAACACACAACATCTTTGGAAAATGGGCGACTTAATCCTGATATGATTGTTCCGTTACGCTTACTGATATTTGTTTGTATACAAGACTTCACGAGTTACCTCCCTTGGTTTGGTGTCTACTATATATATTTCTTGTATAATATTCTACGAGTTACTGCCCTTTGTGGAACTCTTTTACTCTTTATCATCGAGCAGCCATTGTGAGCGTACAATGAGGCACGCTTCATCAACATACCTTGTTTTGTGAAATGTGGACTTGGTTGAGCCATAGTTGTAAGTGTCAATCTAGCCAAAATAAGGCAAATATAGTAAATACTCAAATAATAATCCTTTACACCTTGATAATATAGATAACTTGCAATATTTTATGTATTTTGTTCCTTTCATGTCAAAGCACGTGGTCGTTAAGTCATTTCGGCCCAGAAACCAGTCATGTGTTTTCTAGTCTATTTTATACTATAAATTCACTGTTTATGACATGCAAGCTAAGGTATAATTATGTTGTTATTTTGTACATTTCATAAGTTAGTTGTCGGCGTATGCATTGCCCTAGAAACCAACACAAATATAGATAATTATAACTGTTATCAGTTCATATGTGTTGAGTGTAATGGCACAGTGCCAGTATACAATATTACCTGTGCAGACCGGAACCTCTGTATGTTGAAACCTCTGTAAAGCGAAGTTTTCTGTATTTCCTTCTCATTATGTTATAGAGGTCGACCAATGTATTTTTATTCCAATATTAGTGTTAAAATCGGTCATATTTACATGTTTCTGGTGCTGATACATTTAGCAGGTAAATTTACTTAAAAGATAACTCTGTCCATATAACAATTCAGTAATGTTTAATTCCAAAATGTAATAGATGTTTTGTTTCTGTATTTTGCAGTCTTCACGTTTACATGTCAATCGGTTTACCATGATTTGAGGATGGAAATAAAACCAAATATATACCAACACGTACACTTTGCGTTATCGTACAGTTACAATGATGGTGCTCACCGCATATTATAGCGGGTTAAATCTACGGACACCCTGATGTCACGTGTTTCCAGTTATACCAGATAGTATAACAAGAGGCTTAATTTACACAGATCGGGGCAAATAAGACTCGATATATAAAAAAAACACTATTCAAGTTAATACAGTTACAATATTTGTATACAAAATCAACAAAAATAAATGACAACATATATATATTGTTGACGATATTCAATACCTTCATTGTCTTTTCAAATAAACAAACTGGTCCTTTTTGAAGTTACACATGACGTCGTGTTAACATTTTTACTTAAACACTATTATCAGCTTTGATCACCGTGTGGGTTTTCTATGGAAGTTTGTGCGGTTCGTTGTATTATCACAAGTATCAGTTGTGATATAATAGTGCTGGAATTAATTGTAAACAGATCTTGTTATTTGTTACCAAATGTTGAATATTCAGAAACTCAAGCGCGAGCTTCCGTGGAAGTTGACCAGAACATTACAATTATCGTTAATCTAAATCTGTGTGTCATTCAGACTGTTTGTGTCAATATCCTGTAATCGTGACATTTGAGAAGTAACTCCCGTGTGAAGCTTTTATTACCCTAATGCTTTTGAAGACGGCACATTACGTAACGGTATTAGTACGATGGCCTACCTGGCGGATACTGACTATAGTGACACCTGTCGCTCAAATCTCAGGTAATTTACCTGTATTGTAAGTAATATGCATGTCTTATCAATCAGTTAATCTCTAGACTCAGGTATATTTCTGCACGAAACACAGCGGGTACATTTATGAAATTCACGAATTAACAATATCCCGCCGCGTGAAATCAAAAGTTATCTTCTTTAAGTAATTACTTCAACGATAAAATTTGATAAAAAAAACCTGCACGATAGTATATTAATTGCTATTTGCATGACCGTGTAGGGATTCACAAGTGTACAAACAAGCCTAGGGCTTATATATTATTCACTTCTCTTCAGATATTCAGATGGCCAGCATTGCATTACAGTATTATGCTGACAAAAGATTTTCAATCTGGTTTGAGTACTAATTATATAAGATATAAATATCAATACTGAATCGTTGTGAGTCTACTTGACATTGTATATCAGATGTGGTGGGAGGTGGTGGGTAGGGGTGTGGGTGTCGGTTGCGGGGCGCTTGCCAGAGGCAAGAGGTTGAACAAATACAGAAACTAATTCAGATTTAAATAAACTATATTATGAAGCATTTTCAAAATAATATTTTAAGAGTGTTACATAATCAAACAGATTTTGTAGCAATGATAAATTGTTGAACACAGGTGAACAGAGAAATGTTCTTTTCCACACAGTAGTATCTCCACACAGTGGCATCTTCACACAGTAGCATCTCCACACAGTAGCATCTCCACACAGAAGCATCTTCACACAGAAGCATCTCCACACAGTAGCATCTTCACACAGTAGCATCTCCACATCTCCACACAGTAGTATCTCCACATCTCCACACAGTAGCGTCTCCACATCTCCACACAGTAGTATCTCCACACAGTAGTATCTCCACATCTCCACACAGTAGTATCTCCACATCTCCACACAGTAGCATCTCCACATCTCCACACAGTAGCATCTCCACATCTCCACACAGTAGCATCTCCACATCTCCACACAGTAGCATCTCGACACAGTAGCATCTCCACACAGTAACATCTCCACACAGTAGTATCTCCACACAGTAGCATCTCCACACAGTAGCATCTTCACACAGTAGCATCATTAAACAGTAGCATCTCCACACAGTAGCATCTCCACACAGTAGCAGCTCCACACAGTAGTATCTTCACACAGTAGCATCTACACACAGTAGCATCTCCACACAGTAGCATCTCCACACAGAAGCATCTTCACACAGAAGCATCTCCACACAGTAGCATCTCCACACAGTAGCATCTCCACACAGTAGCATCTCCACACAGTAGCATCTTCACACAGTAGCATCATTAAACAGTAGCATCTCCACACAGTAGCATCTCCACACAGTAGCATCTCCACACAGTAGCATCTTCACACAGTAGCATCTTTAAACAGTAGCATCTCCACACAGTAGCATCTCCACACAGTAGCATCTCCACACAGTAGCATCTTCACACAGTAGCATCTTTAAACAGTAGCATCTCCACACAGTAGCATCTCCACACAGTAGCATCTCCACACAGTAGCATCTTCACACAGTAGCATCTTCACATAGTATCTTCACACAGTAGCATCTCCACACAGTAGCATCTTCACACAGTAGCATCTCCACACAGCAGCATCTCCACACAGTAGTATCTTCACATAGTATCTTCACTCAGTAGCATCTCCACACAGTAGCATCATTAAACAGTAGCATCACCACACAGTAGCATCTCCACACAGTAGCATCTCCACCCAGTAGTATCTTCACATAGTATCTTCCCACAGTAGCATCTCCACACAGTAGCATATCCACACAGTAGCATCTCCACACAGTAGCATCTTCACACAGTAGCAGCTCCACACAGTAGCATATCCACACAGTAGCATCTCCACACAGTAGTATCTTCACACAGTAGCATCTTCACACAGTAGCATCTTCACACAGTAGCATCTCCACACAGTAGCATATCCACACAGTAGCATATACACACAGTAGCATCTCCACACAGTAGTATCTCCACACAGTAGCATCTCCACACAGCAGTATCTTCACACAGTAGCATCTTAAAACAGTAGCATCTCCACACAGTAGCATCTCCACACAGTAGTATCTCCACACAGTAGCATCTCCACACAGTAGTATCTTCACACAGTAGTATCTTCACACAGTAGCATATCCACACAGTAGCATATCCACACAGTAGCATATCCACACAGTAGCATCTCCACACAGTAGCATTT